CCCCCCCCCCCCCGCTAAGCTACCGCGAATCTTGTGCGCGGTGGAAAAGGTTGCTTGGGGGAAATATTCTTCATGGTGCAATGCGCCCGTGGTTTTTCGCCAAGGCAGCCCATGTATCCGGGACTGCTTGCTTCGGGGGTGATCCCCTACCGCAACCACGTTTTCGGGGTGGCTGGCCTTGAACACACATGTTGTGGCCAAGTGAGTCTTGTCCCCCCCTCTTTGGGGGAGCTTCTCCACGCGGGTTTCAAACAGTTGATGGCTGCCGTCCGTCTTGGCAAGTAAAGGACGAGTGAGTTTGTCCGACCCACCACAATCCCCACCCCGCTATCGAGGGTCTACTTATGGCTATGCATGGCAACGACCCCCCCCTAACCGAAACACGCCTCAAACAGGAAAGAGGAGGACGAAAAGAAGCGGAGAGCTCTCGGTGACTTGGGTCCGGACCCCGGTCCGGCGGGAAGAGGCCGAGGGAGAGGACGTGGTAGGGGCAGGGGGCGCGATAGAGGAGGCGGGGGTGGTAGGGGAGGCGCGTCGGCGCAAAGGGCAGCGCCAGGCCCAAATAGTGCCGCCATCTCATCCGTCGGCGCCGCCGACACGGTAGCCAGTGACGATGGTGGCGGTGCCGTTGTGGATGGCGAGAGCGCAAGCAACGCCGGGGCGGAGGGTGGGAAACGCCCGCGGGAAGAGGACGGGGCGGGGAGTTCGTTAAAGGTGGCCAGGGTTGACGATGAGGGCGCAGTGGGGCAAGGGGAAGGGACGACAAAGGTGGCGGGAGCAGGGGGTGGCAACAAGAGGTTGTGCACGTTCTACCTCAAGGGTAGGTGCGACAAGGGCGAGGCGTGCACGTTCAGCCACGACGTCGAGCGAAAGAACTGCAGGTGGGTACGCCCTTGTTGTTTCTTCGTGCCTCGTTTGGAACTGTAGTTCGTGTTTGTCGGTTGTTTGGTCTGGCAGGTCTGTTTCGCGTGGGATGGAGCAAGTGTTGTACCGACTTCGTGCCGGACGCATGCAAGCTAGCTGTCGCGTGTTGAGAACACGGCGTGTCTGGTTCTCCTCTTACAATGAGCAAGATGATGTTTTTTGTACGCCCCAAAACATTCTCAGGAGCGTTTTTCGGCACTGATGTGTGCCGTGGCTTTTTTCATGAAGACGCACGGCCATGCCCAACATGACACACGAAAGACTCAGCCCTTGGCCGCTGTTGTATCCTACCTGACAATTGCGACCATGCACCTGTCCCTCGCAACCATTTCATGGCCTGCCGTTGCCACCATTTCACGCACCTCCGTTACCACAAGGCTCAGCTCCTGCCCATCCTGTGCGGCGTGTGTAAGACCATACTCGTGCTTCTCAGACAGTTCTTGAACTGCCGTTACCGCAAAGATAAGCTCTGACGATCGCCTGCCCATCCTACCCGTTGCGCTTATCATACGTGCCCACACATGCGCGCGACCGCGCACCCCCTCTCATTCGCAGCTACTTCATGAGCGGCCGTTGCCACCGGGGGAAGGGCTGCTTGTTCATGCACGACCACGAGGCGAGGGAGAAGGCGAGGGCTGAGGCCGGAGACAACGCCGCCGATGAGAAGCTGACCAAGACGGAAAGAAGCACCAGGTGAGAAGCAGCAGTTCTACCGCTACCATAGGTTCTGCCAGCACGCAATCGAATCCATGTGCTGCGTGGGTTTTTGATCGCCGTGGCATGCACGCGTTCTCTGTGAGCTTTCCGAGCAAGGGGCATCGTCGATTCTCGACCCCGACAAAAAAAACGAGCAACCTCACCAAGACATGTTTTGGCAGATTTTTGACACAAGACGGGCTCCATGTTCAACCTAATACGGAGCAGGGGACACCGTGGCGCGAAAATCGCCGAGACCAAAAGGCACCGCAAATACGAGCAGAGGAATACTTGATAGGCGCTTGGGATATTGGAGATGCAGTCGATCCCGCTTTAAGGACCCTCGTGTTAAGGAAACTTTTTATGCTGAGCACCAGGGGGCCCGGCAGAATGTAACGATAACGGGGTAACCGCATTTTTTATGTCGCGTACCCTCTTAGGTGTCCTGCGGACCGCTCTTTGCATGCACCACGCACCACAGTGAGTACAGAACTAGCGACGCACAGACAGCGGAAGTAGCGAGCGGTCTGCTGCTGCAGCTGTAACAGGGTGTTGGTATGGACAGATTTTTCCCATCTACCGGCGGTCCATCTGATGCCGCCAAAAAAAAAAGTCGTGCATAACCTCGTCCCTCACCGCGGGCGAGGTTATCTCTCGCTTGGAGGACGTTCGAGACGATTTGTACGCGAAGGGAAGGGGCGGCGAGTACCGTGAGGCGCAGTACCTTCTTTCAAAGACAGTTCATTCGTATACTCAAGAAACTCAACAAAACCGTAGAGCCAAGCCGCGGGGGGAGGTTCAGGGAGCTCTTTGCGATATGTGGAGGGAAAAGTCGCCCACGGGGAGCTTTTGGTCTGCGCCGGGACAGTTATTATATGTACTGGTGTTCCTCGGTGCGACGCTGAAATACGCTCATTGTTTTTTTGTTTGACAAGAATAAGTAAGTGTCTACTTGGACGTTCCTCCTTCTTCCGCTGCCGGCTATGCAGTACATTGGTTGGAAAAGTACAAACTTCTGTACTGTAGTTGGATGTTTTCAACACGTCCCTGACTGCTGTATATCTCATTTTTTAGTATTGTAAATGTGTTCGACGTCAACAAATGGTTGCCAGTTGTCTCGGCGATGCCGACTTTTCATACCATGCCGTTCCTTAGCAAAAGACGCGTAGTTTGAGATATAGCATGCCTCCATTGTCCACGGGGATGGGGAGCTATCGTCCCCTGAATTTTAAGGACGCAACCCCGCTTTCAGGACGCTTTTGTTCGGGAAACGCCATGTGCGTCCCTAAAGCGGGGTCGACTGTACATGTAAACTTCCGAAGGATGTGATTAAGTCAAACCCAAATTCAAGGTCGGATCGAAGATGCGAATCTCCACCAGACGACAATCAGGGATAATCTTTCATCAACGACGAGGTGCATTTTGACTATTTCGGTAACCACTGGCATAGCCACGACCAAACTGTAACACGTCTGGGGGACTAGCGGTGCTTCGTGAAATATCGGTTGTCGATGCTTGCTTGCTTCGCACTCCTTCAGACGAAAAACAACGATCGTTCACCACCTCCACATGATGGAAGAGTCGAAGACCCTTGCAGTAGCAAAGGTCAAAAGTCCTCACTTCCTTATTCTTGTCTTGGTGTGACAACATTGCCATTTCACCGCCCTTTGGTTTCGAACCCTACGTCGCACCTTCGATGCGGGGCCGCATTCACTACACCTGGCCTCTTTCGAGTGCCAGAGTCAGTCGTTCAGTAGTACACATGTACGGTTGACTCTGGCACTCGAAAAGGGTGAGGTGTACATAACGAAGGCGGCCACGCTTCGCAACCCGCTAGCCGCCAACGCGGAGGCGGATCACATCGTGGCTGCCGAGCTGCAACGCTGTCTCGGGGCGCGGAAGGCGAGCTGAAGCAGCTCGGGCAACAACTCGTCGTAGCAACTCCGTGTAGTCACGCCCAGAAGATCGTGAACAAGTGAATCAACTCGCCGCCAGCCGGTCGGGTTACCGCTATCCCTAGAAGCCTTTTTGCCTAGCAACCAAGAAGATTCCAACGGGTGGGCGTTTTTTTTTTTTTTTTGATCCCATTGTTGGACTCTGTCGTCTGCCCCTCTGGCCCCTATCCTCCACTTCTACCTGCTAGACGACCCAACCGGGGTCACACAGGAGGGGGGGGTTGGATCCCCTGCTGCACTTCCTGCCTGAGATGTTTTTATCGCGAGAAGGGTACAGCAATCCCTTATTGTGGAGATCCGGCACAATCTCCCCAGCGTTGGTCGAGGACGATTGATGCTCTCTTTTCCCGAAATCCGGTCCTTCAACCGCCTTGGCCGAGCGGCTATTAACCCGAACACTTATTTCGAACCAGGGCCCCTTTAGACCAAAATGATTGGTTGTACGGCAGGACTACCGCCCAATGAAGCCAGTCAGAACCCCACGACAAGTCAACCTCTCAGGGGCTCCTTTCATGCCCTTCCAGGGCTAGCCCAAAAATCGTTGTTAACCGAAACAATACTCACCCTAAACCTCAACCCGTACGATTGTACAAGCCAAACTCACAAGGCAAATGCTCAACCGTGACTTACTTTTTACTCCTCGTCGTTGTCCGATCCGGTGGATGGCATGAAAACACACGCAGTAACAAGAAGGCGGCGGCGGAGGCGGCAGCGGTAGCGGCGGCGTCCAAGCCCACCCTCCTGCGCAAGCTTCTGGCCCCTCAGCTGCACCGAGAGAGCAGCATCGCCCTCCAGGCCGTGCGGTTCATCGTCCAGTCGAAATTCTTCCAGGACGATGCCGCCGCTGCCGGTGGCGCCAGCGCCTCCGCAGCTGCGCCGGAGACGGCTTCGGCACCACCGTCCCCCTCTTCTGATCCAGCTGGTGATCCTGCTAGTGCCGGTGATGATACTGGCAAGCAAGCCGGCGGCCTGTCGACTTCGGCCCCGTCGACTGCTCCAGCATGTGATACTGTTGTTTCTGAGAGTGCTGGTGCCGGCGATGATGCTGGCAAAGTTCTGTCGGCCACGACGCCACTGGCCTCATCTGCTGCTCCGGTTTTTGATTCTGCTGTTGGTGCTGGTGCCGTTGAAGATACTGGCAGGGAGACCGGCGGTCTGTCGACCGATGCATCGGGGTTCCCCGCTCCTGCCGCGGAGGAGGGAGAACCCGCCGTCGACGCTCCAGCGGCGGCGGCGGCAGCGGCGGAGGTAGCAGTGCCATCATCAAGATCTCCTCCCTCCCCGACTCATACGGCAGCCCCCTCCACCATCGCTAAGGAAGCCGCCTTGTCGACGCCCACCGATGGCCCGTAGAACGGACACACATACGCAGTAGCAAATGCTTGTGGGCATCTGTTTTGCGCGCGGCGCAACGCAGTGTAGGAGTGTCTTGGGGAGTGTTACGGCCCCCCCTGATAGCACCTGGTGGTTGCAGGGTAGGGGTACCTCTTGTTTCCCCCTTCATTCGTGTCCGAAACAGAAGTGAATGAGATCCCAGGCATTGTTGTGGAATTGGCATGAAAACGCCCTGCTAAAGGTTTGCAAAAGTGGCGAGTCTCCAGGATGTATGCATGTGTGCGTGTTTTTAATGTTGGCATCGACCGCCCTACCCGGCTCACCATTGAAACAATGCCAGTTTCACTTCGGCTTGTGTGTGCGTGTGGAGTGTGCGATTTTCCCAGAACCAAGGATATGTTTGTTGTTTGGCAGTGTCGCAGGGTATAGCCCGGCGACAAAGAAGTAACGGCGGTTCGGGTTAGCACAAGGGTTAGAGGAATTCAATCGGTGTCATGACTCCGTGATGTTGTGAGCAGTGCAGGTGTGCTTTTGTTCGGAGAGCGGAATAGTATGAGATGAGCGTATAAACACCCGAGAGCGATACCATTGGTTATCTCGACGAGCAGGAAAAAGTAGAACAAGGCTTGAGTCTTTGCAAGGATTATTTTTCTTCAAGTCTTTGCAAGGACAGCAGTAGTACATGAGTCGGGGAAAGGAGGGGCGGCCGGAGGGGATTCAATGCATCATGCCCGGCGTGGTACTGAAAATGTAGCAGTGACAAGGTAGGTCACCTTCATTCATAGTCCTTTCGTACGTTTGCAGGAATGAAAAAACAGTCGCATCTGTGTCTGGTCGCTTTGATGGAAGCAGATTCCACGAAGCAGGCAATCCCTTGAAGAATTGGCATGTTTTGAGTGCTGTGTTGTGCGAGGGGGGCTTGAGGGACCCCGAAGTTGAGAGCTCATTCGAAGGGGAATCAGTTCCGACAAAGCCGGGCATATGGAAGGGAACAAAGGTGTTCACGCTAGGTGCGGCACGGTTTCCCCGTGGAGTTTAGGTTTGTTCCCGGGAACGTCCAGCATAAAATGAAAACGAAAACCTCTGGCTGTATCGAGAGGGTAGACACCTCGATCAACCGCAGGCGGTACTTGTCCCATTCGGTGTTGGTGAACTACCGCGAACGACTCGCTCTGTTTTTGTGTGTCAACGTAAACGTGGTGGCGAGTTTGTATGCACACGCAGCAACCTTCGCAGGGTTTCATTTTAAGTAATCATGTCGGATGAACTATACAATCGGAGGAGTTGGGTTAGGGTTAAGCAATAGGGTCTGCGTCCCCCCCCCTCCCTGTTCTATATCCTTGGAGCCTTATTAATCTCGCGAAGGCGATCCTTTGTGCGAGGATATGTGTGAGCACCGAGCGCGCTTCCACTCGAAGGCAAGTGTGTGGGGTTCGCCTCCCGTCGTGTCCCGTCGTTGCCGCTGTCGTTGCCTTCGTGCTGGGGTCCTCCGGCGGTCGGTGTTTGGTGGATATTGGGGGGGTCTTGCTTGTTGTGTGTGGGGGGTGTACTCATAGTCGTGCATGCCGTAGTCGTTAGACCATTGACCTCGCATCCCTACAAAGCCGGGACGGAGTACGCCGGGTTCTCACCGGACCAGACTATCACACCACCAAGCGCGAAGCGCCGTGAGATATTCGGCGAGCCGCATGAAGGGTGCGCTGCATCCTGCTAAGGGTTTTCGGCATCTTGTGCTTACTTCCTTGCGTACGGATGACAGCTGCGTATGACTTAATTTACTTTCTGGTCCTTTCACTTCCTGAGACAGTTGTTAGCAGTATGTAACTGCCTCGAGGGTGCTTGGCCATTTTAACACAACGTGGTGCGATCATCCCCCTTGCGCGGAGTGAGGGTTCTCCACCCCGCACAACATGATCTACTCGACCACCATTATGGTTACCGCCAAAAAAAAACAGAGGTAAAAAAAAAAAACGGTAACCTGGTTGCCGAGTTCACGAAGTGAATTGGCTTATTTTACAACGTCGTTGCCAAGCAACGAAAACCCAATCCCGATGGCAAATACCGGGCGGGGGGAAGGCGGCTTGTTTTACAACGTCGTTGCCGAGCGACGAAAACCCAACCCCGGGGGGGGACTCGTTTTACAACGTCGTTGCCAAGCGACGAAAACCCAACCCCGATGGCAAACACCGGGGGCGGCGGCTGGTTTTACAACGTCGTTGCCAAGCGACGAAAACCCAACCCCGATGGTAAACACTGGGGGGGTAGTGCGAAAAAAGCTGTCTAGTATTGGACGCCGTTAGTCTAGAGCTCGTGCGTGCGTGGTTTACGTTCCCGTGGTTGCAGTTTTTGGTGTTCGTGTTGGGGTTGCTTCGTCCTGCGCGGTTGCTTCTCGCGCTGTGGTGTGGCCGGCGCAGCTCGTGAGGTTTTGGTAGTATTGAGGAGCCCGCAGTTGTCCCGGAAGGTCTTTGCGTCGCCTTGCGATTAAGAACACATGGAAATCGGAGCAATGCTATCGACGAGCCGCAGTTTGTCTGATGGCTTATCTTCGCCACTTCCGTGGGGGTTGCAGAAGCTCGGGGTCCTCGCCTGTAGTGCTGCCACTGCTGTGCGACATTCGCTCGAAGATATGATGTGGCCAAAAAGGGTTTTAACGAGATTGTAACGATGGCAAAGAGAGAGAGAGACAGACAGACAGACAGAGAGAGGGGTCGGGTCTGCACCTGCCACGAATACCAATAAAAACAGCACACGATCACGGGGCAACTGCCGCACACACAGGGGGAAACCGAATACGGTGTAGGCCAGATCCACCATCGGCATAACTACGATCACCGAACGACGCGTGGGACGACCCCTCATTTGAAAAAAACAGCGTCCGCCCACTCGTGCTCCATCAGCAAGCGCCCGTTGTGCGCGGCCATCGTCGGTTTCGGCACGAGGAGGGGCCTGCTCCCTAGCATTGGCACCCTGCCGAGATTCCCCGCGCCGCCGCCGCCGCCGCCCGCCCTTCCGCCAGGGGCACCGCCAGGAACAGATCGGTGATAAAACAGGGTAGGGGTACCGCCGCCCCATCCGCCGAGGGTGAGGGAGCCTCCAAGCCCCCGGGCTGTTGTTCCTCCGAGTGAGGCGCTCCCTTCGCCGGTCGACGCGTGGTTGTTATCACCGACGCCTCCTCCTGCGGTGCTGCTGTTGCTGCTGCAGCCGCCGCCGCCGCCGCGTTGATGGTGAAGGTGGCGCCCGCCGCTGGCGGTGGCGATCCGAGAGTTTGGCCGCGCCAGGCGAGACGAATCGGACGCGGCGTGCGTGCTCGGCATCATTGGTGGGAGGGACGAACGCTGTTTTGCGAGATGGCGATAATGGGGGCGGGGGGGGGGGGGGGG